CCATCCTGGATTCCCTGTATTTTCAGTTCCTATCTGTACCAGTGTACATCCTCTGGTCTAGCCAGACTTGCAAGGTCGAATTCGAGTCATGGCAGTGGGAGCGGGGAGGAAACATTTAGGAGCTAGAGGAAAGTTGTATTTTTCATCGTTGCTACATCGCACCCTGACTGGCTCATCTCCTCCCCGAGACCCCTCATCTCACATTTTAGATCACAGCATTGCTGGGATCATTTGCAGACTTTTAATTGTTACTGCCTTTTGAATTCAGGGGATTCCTTCAGTTTGAAAATATTACTATTGGAATTGAACCAATGGAGTCTTCAGCCGGATTTGAGCACATAATATATCAAGTGAAAAATGACATTCCGGATTTACCAATATTAGCAGAAAATGGAAGAAAGACATGGGAGAAGGAGCAGCCGTATAAAATTCATGTAACACAGGTGACTCTAAAATAATTGCATACTAGGAAATTACTTCTGGAGCTGTTTGTTACCTTGCAAGGTAACAAACATCTAGTTACTGAAGAATAGCATCTAATTGCAGCCAATATGCTTAGACACATACCTTCGGACAGCCAACTCACTCCTTCCTGCCTTCCTGATAGTAGTGACATATTTGATGCTGAAAAACATCAAATCTTGCATGCAGTGGAACGTTTGATTTCATTTTAACTCACCAAACTTTTAAAATATGAAAATCAATTAATTTCAGCTATTTAAATCCATTCTCTGCTAGTTTTATCATTAAGGTCATATCAATTTCAGAAGTGGTATTTTCAGTTTCATTATCTGCCTTTTCCTTTGATATTTGCTACCTTTGGAGAGCTTGACATGCTATAAAAGGCAGTACATACTAAGTAAATATTTTTCCGGCTTGTGAAGGATCATATTTTACTTTCTATGGGGTTTCTACCCTCAAGGGCTTCACGTTCCTCAAGTTGTACCTTGTGTTTATGGTGAGTCGTAGTTTGCCAGAGGGATATCTGTTCTCGGCTTACTTTAGAGTTTGTCCACTTCGCTTTTGTTTCCTCTTGTAATATTTCCCGGATAAAATGGTGTCATCTCAGTCTCTCCTTTATGCACGTTATTTTTCCTTGATCCATTTTAGCATAAAATATGAATAAGATGGGATAAGCTTTTTTTTGGTGATACTTTTACTGACATTTTCTTTAACTGGTGGTTATAATAATGCTCCTGGCAAATATTCCTTCCCTTCTCTCCAGAGGTGCTGTTGCCATTGTCAGTGAACCCGGTCTCACGCACAGGGACCCTAGTGAACACATTGGAACTAACTTTAGGGTTCTGGAAGCTCTCACCTTTTTTATTTTTTATTCTTAGCTCTCATCTTTTGTGAGCATAGGCCACATATGTCTTCTACTCCTCCAGCGGGAAGTCTTTGTTTGCCTCGTCACCTCGCTTCCTTCAGGAACATTTCACTAGCATCCTCAAGATAAAATCATGTTTCTCCTTGACTCTGCCAAATAAGAATTCGTATTATGAACAAGATAATAGTGACACCTCTGCTTCTCAGAGACTTTTCATTCTTACAATAGCCCACGATTCGTCTTTAGAAATTCATCAAGCTTTTCTACTTGAATATTCTCACCGGTTAAAATAGCATTTAATGCTGTTTTTTCTAAGTAAACAAATAATTGGGATTTATCCTTTTCTGCAGAGACGTTTTCAAATCCATATTTTACGTTAGTGGTTTGATCTGTAATCTAGATGGGTTCAATAAAAGTCATTAATGTTTAGTTTATAGATGTGGAAATGAAACTCTATTTCTCTGGGTCTCTAATCTGGAACCAGTTACCTAATAATAATGCTCTTTTAATTTTACCTAATATTTTTGTCGAAAATCAGCTAAAAATTAGAAAAGCTTTTAAGACAAAAAGACTATACTTTGATTTCTCAAAATACTCAATGATGGGTTTTTAACTTGCTTATTTTTTAGTATTTACTAGATATGGAAGCCAAGAAGATATAACTGACCACATGAAATCTCTTAGAAAGAAACATCTGTGTCTATGTTAGGAATTATTTTTGTGATACTATGAATAATGGTCGTGATTGAATTTATGGCTTTATTTTTGTTGTTCTTTTGTTTTTCAAAAGTAGGTCTCCAGGCTTTTCCTCCAAGACACTTTTCCATTAGCAATAAAATTATCCGCAACATAAATTTTATACCTATACATAAATTAATGCAAGATGGAGCATAAATTAACAAGTTCTGAACGTTTCACATTTTAAAGTGTAAAATCTTTAAGCCATCAGATTTGATTTTAAAAATTATTAGATATGAAATATTCATGAAAATGAACATGAAAAGATAAATTGAAGTTCCTCAATCACAAAAAAGTTATGTCCTTCAAAACCTGAAACAAAAGAACAAGCTACAGACTTGGGAAATATAATTTTAAGACCAGGGAAATAAAGTAATCCCTTGCTAGTACATTTTCCTATCCAACAAAGAATTCATAGCTGGACTACATAAATGACTCTAAGAAGTGAGCATTAAGTTATCATACATTAAAAAATGGCTTATACATATAAAACAGTAAGCAGATATGCTTCACCAGCAGTCATTTATGAATTAAAGACAGACAAAATTATGGGGAGGCAATATCAAATGCTGATGCAGAGAAAGTGAGTCTCTCATACATTGCTGGTTCGAGTCAAAGTAGTGTAGTAACTGCAGAAAGTATTTTTTTAATTTTGTTGAAGACACATGCAACAAAATGAACTCCTAATCAGCACTTTCTACCTGTATATTTCAGTGACATTGGTTCCATCACACAAACCTGCCACCTTTCAAACTGCTAGTGTCTATTTAAGGATCCCTGGGGGCACTGTGGGGTAAGTAGTGGGCTGTTAACTTCCAGTTTGGTGCTTCAAACCCACCAGATGCTCTGCAGGAGAAATATGAGGTTGTCTGTTATCTTAAAAACAGAGTCTCAGAAACCAACATAGAGTCTGTGTGTTGTGTGGACCCTAATACATGATGGATAGCTTTGAGAAGAAAGAGAATTTCCGAACACTACATTGTGTTCATGTGGAAACTGTACATGGATGAAGAGGGACTTGTCCCCAACGGACAAGGGCCTCCTGCATGCTGCACCATCAGCAAAGGTGTGCATCAGACTTGCATCCTTCCACTCAACTTATTCCACCTGTAGGCTGAGAATATAATCAGAGAAGCTGGATTGTATGAAGACGAGTGTGGTATCAGGATTGAAGGATGCAGATGACACAACCTTGCTTGCTGACTGTGAGGAGGACTTAGAGCATTTGCTGATGAAGATCAAGAGTTGCAGCCTTCAGATCGGATTACATCTCAATGCAATGATGACTGAACTCCTCACCGTTGGACCAGTAGGCTACATCACGATATAATGGAGAAAAAACTTGAAGTTGTCAGGGATTTTGTCTTGCTTGGATCCATAATTAATTCTGATGGAAGCAGCAGTCAAGAGATAAATGTCTTCTTTTTCTTTTGGGGATGCTGTGGACAGGAATTCCAAATGGTTCAGCGTCTACCTACTGGCACCGGCTGTCCTATCAAACCACTTCTGATAACACTAGGCTGTCTTGAACCCTTCATAAGAGAATTGTTCACCTTAATAGGAAGAATGCTATAAAGCATCAAAGCCAGCATGTGGTATGTGCCCAGGCCGACTTTGAGGGGTCTGTGCTGTGAGACCTTAAGTTCTCATGAGTTGTACAAAACAAAACAAAACAAATGTCAAAAGGCATATATCTGACATCCAGTTCTTTGAAGTTGAGCCAGCAATTTGCTGTCTGGCGTACTGATCCTGTATATCAGCATCAACCTACATGCCGGCCTTAGATTTCACTCATCTTTGCAGCCAGAATGCTGCTGCCTGATTTGTCGATCTTGGATCCATCAACCTGCAACTATGTAAAACAAAAGAATCCTATGGCACTCAGATTTGGAGCCTGCCAGTTCATTAAATTATATGAACCATTTCTTAGTATAAACCGTTCTTTCTATCTATCTATATCTATCTATCTATCTATCTATCTATCTATCTATCTATCTATCTATCATCTATCTATCTATCATCTATCATCTACTTCACTGATTTTGCTTCTCTAAAGAATCATGCCTAAAACAACCAACACATATGTTCATACACATAGAGACAGATTTTAAATAGATTGGCAAATAATAAAAGCAAGTGACATAGAGAGTTTGGGTAACCCTATTAGCATTTGGAATACCAATAACAGCTTACAACATCACAGAAATACACATGCCACCACAGGATGATAAACTGATAGGCATATCTATTTGGAGATACAAATAGATTTCTTTGTATTTTCATAGGAAAATAAATATGCCTGTATTATGAGTCAATATTAATTTGTACAGTACTTCTTAATACTCAAGTAAACTCACTAAGAATCTTTTATGCCAGCATTATGATTTTAAGTAAAGTTATCTAGTTTGCAGTGATTTTTATACTTAACACTTACGAAGGTTTTATAATTATTCTTTTTTTCTACATAAATTTTGGTTATTAACAAATTTAGCACTTGCTAACATATACCTGCCATGTTTGTTGGTTTGTTTTCAGGAAAAAACTATTTTGAAACAATTACCCCAATACCTGGAAATGCATATCATAGTAGAAAAAAATTTGGTAAGTCACAGAGCAATGTCCTTCTTTCTTTCTAAAACTTGGGACGTGGCCATCTGGTCAAATAAGAAGATGTGATAATTTGATCCTAAATTGATTCAATGCTTTCTGCCAACAGCAACACCTCTAGCATATTAAAAAGATTACTCTTTCTTTGTCTGCTCTAATCCGTTAGCAGTAAAACTCTTACCCCTTTCACCCACAGTTATAAAAATGAACACAGCTGTGCTTGATAATACGGCACCTGTGGCATTTTCTAAAGCATCACCTGAGGAACATGTCTGTAAGACATTGCTCAATGTTCCAAAGAAAGTCCCTCACCACCTATTAGTACTTGTTGTCCAATAACATGCCTTAGATTCCAATGAGCCACAAATGTGCGGTACAAATGGGGGCCAGGTGTCTGAGGTTTGCATTTTTTGAGTTCTTTCAGTTTAAGAACTAAGTGTGCTCTTCCCTTTGGTTGATTTTCTAACTCAGGGATTTGAATATTTCATTATAGTATTTGGCTTTGTCTTTTTGAGATATCCTCTGACATTTCTATTCAGCTATTTGACTACTTTTTCTTCTAATATTTTTGCTACTCTAGATTTATTTTTTAAATTGTTAATCTCCTTCTTTTTAATTTTATTGAGTACTTTTATTGGGGGCTTTTACATCTCATCATAATCCATACATTCATCCATTATGTCAACTACATTTGCACATATGCTGCCATCATCATTTTAAAAGCATTTTCTTTCTACTTGAGCCCTTGATATCAGCTCCTCATTTTAACCCCCTTCCTTCCCCACCACTCTCCTCATGAACCCTTCATA